GAATATAATTTGCTTATTTTTGACTATTTTTTTGCAGATCTTTTTTATTTTAAGTAAGACATATGCTTATTTTTGACCATTTTTATACTGATCCTTCTATTTTAGTAATTTTTTAAAACTCTTACCCTACATAAATTGCTCAGAGTCCTGTTTTTATTCTTCTTGTTCTTTGTATTCTGAACTAAAATCTAGTTTTTCTTTCTTCGATCATTTATTAATAGGTCTGGGACAGCTTGAAGCATCTAAGCATTCAGTCCTTCTAACTTAAACTCTATCTTAATAGTTCTTTTCTCTTCATCTTCTAGAACTCTTTTTTTTATTTTTTGGAACTATTTTGTTTTTTTACTTTTACTTGAGCTATTTCTAAGAATTTTTAGCTACTGCCAGGTTATTAAGCGATTACCTGTACTTGTTAGCAATTGTCTAAGTAAGATTAGATTTAACTTTTTCAGAGTTCTAGTTACTGGCACAGTAAAGCTTTCTTTAAGTATATTTGCTAATCTATAGTCTTTGCTCTTTGTTATTAAGATTATGCTTCTAAATCTTAATGTGATTTCTAGTTCTCTAGCATTTAGCATTGTTCGATATATTAAATTGTTTTTTCAGATACATGTACAGGCTGCTAGTAGCTCTTCATGCTATGTATTCTTTGTTAACTCTATTATTCTTATTCTCTTGATTATTCTAAACAATGTCAATATCTCTTCCAGGCCAGAGATGTTTAATCAGAGATATAGGCTAGAGATCTGTTTTGTTAAGAGTTTGTTCTATAAAGTATTGCAGTTACCAATATTTCTGTATAAAATTGTACTATTGTTTATGGTTCTTGATATTCCTATTTTATTCTTGGTCAAAGCAAATAAAGAAGCTTGAAGACTATTAATTATCTTTAGCTTAAATCTAGAAACTTGCAACATATAGCATAGCTTAAACACTATACACATATTATTAATATATGCTGCTTGTGCTATAATTATTTTCTTAGGATTTAGAGTCCTTGCTATTAAATAAATAATTCTTTTGCTTTTGCTTTTACCAGAGATTCATCTAGTTTGTTATTTAACTATATTTCAAGAAATCATATGATCTTATTCTTTCCTTCTTCTGCTAACTATTCATTGCCAAAAAGGAGTTTTTGGTCTTCTTTTTTTTCTAGTAAGGGGCATCCATAAATAACATTATACAAGAGAGAAGAAGGGTTTCACAGAAATAACATTTTTTATGTTTTTTGCTAAGTTAGAGAGAGGTCGAAGGAAAATAACCTAATTTTTTTATAAAAATATTAATATCTCGTGACTTAGTAGTCCAAACTGGATGAATTTGGTACTATTAAATTCATCTCAGTGAGATGAATTCAATGGTACCAAAATTATTTAATTTGGATTACTGGATCAAAAGATATTGGCAAAAAACTATTGGTTATATTATTTTATATAAAATTATTATATAATTAATAGTTTTTTGCCTATATCTTTTGATTCAGTAATCCAAATTAAATAATTTTAGTACCATTGGATTCTTCTCATTGAGACGAATCTAATGGTACCAAAATTATCTAATTTGGATTACTGGATCACAAGATAATCAAGATTTTGTAAAAATTTATATATAATCATACGGATTTTTTTTTATATAGTCTAGGAGGATCAAGAGTTACTATGTGGGGGTATATAAAGTTATTTATGGATACCCCTAAGGATATAAATATATTACAGTATACAATACATATATTTATTTATCATTATAAATATAATTTTTTAAGATTATAGATTTAAAAATAATTAAAATAAGAAATATTGTATTTATAATACTATTAATATAACACCCTTATGTTTTACTTAAGGTTAGGATCTAATTTTAAAATAAATAGTAATTTTTTATTATACAATATATATTAGATATGAGATTTTAATAGGTTTCAATTTTAATTTTTATAAAGTTTTCAAGAGTACTGAACATTTTTACTTAAAATATCTATATCCATTTACTTAGTATGTTTCTGAGATATAGTATAAGGGTATTATATAACATAGTGTTATGAATATAACCATCTTTAAAATAATTGTCTTATTACAAAACTTTTAATTTATTTTATATATTATGTTTATAAATTTTATTAACAACTTGTAAAGAAAAAGCTGCAAGTAGCTTTGTATTTTTGATTTTAAATCTTCAACTTGTTTTTGGTAAAAAGTTAATTCAAGTAATTATTAAAAAAAAATCTAAATAGCTTTAATTGATTTATATGAGTGTTACTAAAAAAAACCCCAACAATTTAAATATGACTTATATTTAAAATTTCAGGTTTTCTTTTAGTGACACTCATATATTTTTTATATAATATTACTAATTTTCACTTTAGGCGATGTATAAAACCAATCAGCTCTCCAGATCTTGTGTACCAAAACAAGAAAAATGAGAAAAAACTTTAATAACTTATGAAAATCATGCTTCGACTTCTAAGCAAAAGTTTTTAGCATCAAATTTTACATATATTTAAACACTTTTACTCTAACCCAAGGCTAACCCTAACCTCTAACCGTAAAATTTTCTTTTTAATAAAATTTTATAATATCGGATGATAACACCACGGGTGAAAATTAGTTACCGTATATTACCGAATAGAAGCTACCAAAATTTTGAGAGTTTTTCGGACTAAAGAGAGGGAGTAGCTTCTATTCGGGTCCAATTTTATTATTAAAACATAATAACTTCCTCCAAATTTTTAATCCAAAATCGAGGGAGTAGCTTTTATTCGGAGGTGGCCGGTAATATACGGTATAACCTTTTTTATATTACTCAAATAAACAGAGTTAATATATTTAATCTAATAAAATAATAAATAATATTTGAAACTAACCTAATTCTAATGCTAATTAAATAAATAATTCTGGCCAATATTCGAAAGTCCTAGCGTTACCAAAAATTTCATTGGCCAATCAGATTTTCAAGATCAGGCGTAATGTTCACAACTCAGCATTTTATCTATGAAACCACCTGCGCACTAACAACAAAGTTTTCATTGCCCTTTCTAATCTAACTTAATAGCAAAACTTAATCCTAATCTAACAGCGAAATTTTTTTAGCGAAATTTTTTAGGTTGGTAACGCTAGATCAGTTGAAGATCCAGTTGATGCAGTTAGCTTAATTCGGGCCATTATCGAAATTACACCTTGCGCGTTACTTCGTGAAAATATGAAAATAAGATACGAAGATCTAATTAGTGACGAGACTATATTTTACCTTTTTTTGCATCTTCAATTACCACTCTAGAAAATTTTTGGTTCGAACTCTAGCCTAATACTGTAATAACCTAATAACGAAAATTAACAGTGATGCTTTTTATTCATCCATTGTCACGTGAGCAATAAATATCGTGACTTAATCTCTTAACGTTAATGCTGGTCAAATTAAGATTAAAGTTCTTTTTTTCGTATCCTTTTCGTTTAAAGTTTTTGAGAACTGTGTACTGACTATAATGTATGCACCAGCTACAATTTTCGCACTTTATAGAATTATTGTACAGTAAGGTGCGATACATATTCTCAGTACCAATAATAACAGTAAACCGAGAACAGTCAAGATTGCGAGAGCAAGGGTAGAGGCACTTCAACGGGATCCAGCTCAAAAAAACCAACTTAGTTTAAAACCATTATAAGTATGCTTTGTGGCTGTATATAGTACAGTACATAGTGTGTACTTTAATATATAATATAGCAAGAATGTCAATTTGAATTTACAAAAAACACGTTACAATCTCACTTCTTTACAAGACGTAATTTTAAAATATGTAAAGCAAAAAAAAGTTTTTTTTTCTTTTTTTATATTTATTTTGTGCATTTTTTTCTATTTTTGTCTTTTTTTTCAAAAAATCCAAAAACAATAACACGAACTCAAAATCGACCAGTAATGATAATTATCTGATCGATTACTAATCTAATTTGAATACTTTTTTTTTTTTTTTTATAGAAAAAAAAAACTAGAAAAAAAAAAAAAATTAAAATCTTTCGAAAGTCTTTTAACTCGTGATTCCCTTTTGTTTTGTATAGTGGAAGGATAATTAATAAATGTGTATAAATGGATTGGAAGAAAAGAAAAGAAAAAAAAAAAAAAAAAAAAAAAATTAATTTTGAGGATAGAGTATATAAACTAAACTAAAAAAAAAACCTTGAACTTTGACAATATTGTTCCATTGTGGATGAGAATCGTGAAAATATCAAGGAAAAAAGTAAAATGAAAAAGAAAATTTGGAATGATGTAAAGTTTGTACAATAATCGAAGAAAAAATAAAAGGATAAAGTATATTACACAATTCATTTGAAGAAATGAACCGAAGAGAGGATAAAGGCAATTGGCGAGAAAGATAAAGCAGTGGAAAATCTGGGTTTAAACAAATCCCAATAGATTCATGGCTCTCGGTTTTTTTTTTGTTTTTTTTTTTTTTTTTTCGTAAATACAAAAAAGCAATCAATGTTCATTAAAGTGTGAATCATCCGTGACAAAAAAGTGAAAGTTTTTTCTTGCTAAAAAATTTTTTTTCAAGCCTATAAAATGCAAATAATAAAACTAATTGCACTCAATTTCCCTCGACATCAAAAAAGGATTTTGCGATGAAAATAATTAGAACCGTTGGACAAGCCAATGGTAAAAAAAAAATTTCAATCGCTGTGGCCGCAATTGCACGATCACCAAGAATTCAATCATGGCTTTCTAAATTCAGTTAATACTGGATAGATAGCCTCGAATGCTTGATAGATCTCTTCACGAACCTAAGATAAATATAACAAAACGATAAAGAACGAAAATAAGAATTATCAAAAATCAAGATCACATATTGGAAACATCGATGGCAATGGAAAAGCAAAGCATTGTAATAGATTAAAACACAATATATGCGATAGAAATTACCTTTGCACCAGTAAGAACAATTTTTCCCGAAACAAAGATTAGTAAGACAATTTTTGGCTTTACCATTCTGTAGATCAAACCAGGGAACAATTCAGGTTCATACTAATGAACGAAGAAATATATAATAAGAAGGGTGTGCAGACTAAGGATAAGCTATAATAACGTAGTGCATCACAGCACTTACACTACTGAAATGTCCATGAGAGTAAGCGAGACCTTCCAGACGAATAGGAAACTTGACATCGCACGAACCAACAATGTTCTGAATTTTGAAATCCGTGAACCTTGCATTAAAACCAAGTTTTTGAATAATGCGAGCGTATTTACGGCTTGCTAACTTAGAATCGTCTTCGGATTTTGCCCCGGTGACGACCATTTTTCCAGAAGCGAAAATTAGGGCAGTTGTTTTTGGTTCTCGAATTCTCATGATGACTGCGGCGAAGCGCTAATAATTGTATCATTACATAACAGTGTTTAGCATCTATATTTAATATTTTACCACAATTGTCTATGCTACCAAGGCATAGCAATGCGGTAGTACCTTTGGATTATATTCAGCATTTCTAGCATGAAGTGCAATAGTCTTGAGGTCAAGCTTACAACCAAGGTTAACAGTAGCGACAATGTTTCTATAATGAATTTAAGGGGAAAAAAAAAGTATATATATAAAAAAAAACGAAAAAAAAGTAATAATAAAATGTTAAGTGTGGACCAGCGCAATACTCACTGTAACATCGGGACGATGCCAGTAACGT